CTTTTGAAAAAAACAGAGACAACTTAGGGTGACATGTTTATCTATGGCTTGTGGAATAACAAAAATTTTGCTTGTGCAATATTGGTAGGATTTATTCATTTATTTTTCCAATTTAATGCTTTTTACTCATAAGATACGGTTTATAAAATAAAATATAAAACAATAGAATCTTTTAAAAGCAACACTATTTCATTATTATTCCAGCTTTAAAGGACTGGTTGAAGAGGAGTTGTCATCTCTTTGGCTAAAGGGGGAAGGGTGTGGGCCTAGAAGCTGAGCAACTCTTAGAATAGATTTCATAGCTCAGGACTGGCTTAGGAGAAGACCATCTGTTTTGTCCCTACAAATGGACCTCTCATTGCAAGGGTGCCTTCAGAAGGGCCTTTCCTGCCCATACAAGGTTGTATTAAGATATAATGTGTTGCTGCTGCTGGTGGTGCTGTTGTTGTCATTGTTAAGATTAAAATCTATACCTTAAATTGTGCTGAGAACTTAACCAACAATGCAGATGAAGCATGTTCTAGTTAGCAGCCTAGTTGCCACATTTTGCACCAATTGAAGCTTCCCCAAATTGCTGAAGGCTAGCTTGAGGGTGATTCCTTAATATGCTCATCAGAAAATTGAAAAAGGAAGTTAAAATCACCATTCTGTCCTTTCTCCCCATTCATCAGCGATAACCAGGCTAGTCAGAAAGTCTATCTGATTTGCATTATGGTCGTCCACCCCGGATGTGGCTCATTTTTCCCCCTCAGCTTTTGCCATCAAACCAACTGGCTTATGAGCGCTCCTGAGTTGTGCTGTTGCAAGTGTGAATCTTGAAAGCAACTAGTAAAATGGACATATGCCCACAGAACAGAGGACATAATATATGATCTCTAGGGCAGGAACTGCATCACTATTGACATGAATAGTTTAAGGACATATCATCAAGACATTAAACAAGAACATTTTTGTGTTCTTCTTTAACAGGAACAGAATAGCAGGATCTTCTTGGTTGTACCTCATGCCACCTAGTGTAGTGCCACCTAGTGACTAAAGTATATAATGGGTATGCATTATCCTGCATTGACTGCAAGAAGGTGACTGCTAAAAGTTTTAGGCAACTTTTGCTAAATGAACATTATTTCTGAGCAGATATTGGAGAATGATCTTGGCTACAGAAATGGGCATTGCAAGATTTCTACTTCCAGCTGACTGCAAAAAAGAAATGTTAAAAGGCCAGTACCATGGAAGCAGCTTTATGATAAGATAGTTATCTCACACTGGATTTTTTTTCATGAAACATGTAGTTAAGATGACTTTTTGTGACTAAATCCACTTCCTAGTCTGCTGATCAGACTAAACTGAATTCCTAGAATATAAAACAAATGGGACTATGCTGAAACTAGAAGTAAAATGCCTTTTTTTAGACTCCAGCAGATTTTGTTTTTTTTTTCTTAGTCAGTGAAGACTTTAGCCATAAATCCTGCTGTTCTCACAATTCATTCTAGCTGGCTATCATTGTGATTGTCAAATTAAACCATACTAGGACAATGCAAAACACTTAAGTGCTATTGTCCGTTTAGGTTTTAAACTGTGCACCAGACACAAAATTTACAAGTGCCTGTTATCCACTTACAGTGTTCACATGAAAGGAAGCATTCACATCAGCAAAGTTCTGGCTGAACAAGATATTTTACTGAGTTTAAAATGTCTGATTAGTGGAAGGCACATCACTAGGATCTATGTGTACTCAATAAGACTCACTCTTTGGAAGTAAAAAACATTAATGATTTAAATGTAGATTGAAATAGGCTGAAGATTTGCGGAGAAGATAATGTTTGAAGCTCATGTTACGTCTGCTCATCGATCCACATTTAAGGGCAATTCACATAACAAAAGTGGTATACTAAGGAACTTAGTCAAGGGAAATTGACTCTATGTAGTTAGGGAACATACTGTATATGAAATGCTGTCCCACAGAAGAGCTTTTCAGGAGCACAGATCAGGAAAAAGAAGTCTAAATCAATGTTTTTTTCAAACTTGGTCACTTTAGGATGCGTGGACTTCAACTACCAGAATTCCCCAGCTGGCATGCTGGCTGGAGAATTCTGGGAGTTGATGTCCATACATCTTACAGTGGCCAAGTTTGAAAATCACTGATCTAAATTAGCCCCTGAACCCACACAGGGGCTTGGTTCACACACCACACTTAATAAAATCAGATGACTATCTAGCAAATATATTGTATAACACTGCAAACTGGGATAGTGTTAATTCTGGCTAATTTTTTGTGGCTTAATGTGTTGGTAAACACCTGTTGTGCCATAATGACTGATAAGTTGATAGTTTGATGCTGTATATTGAGAAAACCTTGAAAATGAGTAAATTCAACAAGGTTAAGAATGTTATTTGAAGGTGGCTTTCATAATGAATGTCATTCCAAGTTCATACAAGTGGATGTGGTATATAAGGATTGGGTTGAGACCAGGGCAGATGGAGAGACAATCATAAATAAAATTGTAGAGTAGAAATTCAAATTAATGCCTTTTCAGTGGTTGACTCTCCAGTCTAAGGATATTACAGATCATTATTCCATTCCCTGTGCTCTCAGACAATATAGAACAAGTCTTGACCTGCTGTGACATTCCTTCAGATACTTGAAAAGGGCATATCCCACAATCAGTCATCTTTTCTTCAAGGAAAAACATACCCACTTTCCTCAGGATTAATTTCCAGTTACCTGATCATCCTGGCTGTCCTCTGCACCAGTTGGTTTCTCTGAATCTTTCTTAAAATGTGGTTCTCAAAACTGGGCATAGTACTCTGACCAGTGCAGAGTAGAGTAGAACAATTACCTACCATGGTTTGGAAAGTCAACTATACTACTACTGACCAGGCTAAACTTGCATGCTGAACCTTTTCACATGCAACAGTATCAGCCAGGTATCACACATTTTATACCTGTGCAAATCTACTCTTTTTCTAAGTAAGGGACTTTGCATTTGCCTCAGTTAAATTTAATTACTTTCAGCCTATTTTTTATAATCTGTCAAAATAGTTTCCAATTTTGTGCTTCTAGAATATTAGTCATCCCACCGTTTTCTGTCAGGTGCAAATTTGATAAGCATTCCCTCCAATTCTTCATCCAAGTCCTCTTCATTAGTTGATGCTATGAAGGCAAGAGTAGCTGTTTCCCTTATGCTTTCCTCTATCCTCTGAAGGAGAAAGTTGTCAGCCATCCAGGTCAAGAATTTCTTGGAAGGACCATGTTCGGCAAACTTGTATCCAATTAAATTTTCGGGGGGCGGTTGAGGGTTGGGATAATGAAGGTTCCCTATTATAAATACTTCATTCCTCTTTGAAAGATTTTATTCATTCTGCCACTTATTGTAACTCAAATTCTCTCAACAGCACTATATGGACATTTTAAAGCATTTGTAAAGCATATTGTAGAATTCCTCTTTCTATTGCTTGTGTTTTGGGGCAAATTGCATCCTTCAGTTGTTCTGCTGCAATTATGAAAATCATCCCACTTCTATTATACCTGTGAAATAATATTTGCCTTTCTATGCTAAGAATTTGAGGTCATTCTCTTTATTTTTTATACTCTGAATGTAAACTATTAAAATCTGCACTTCAGAATAATAGTGGACAGGTCATAGTCTTCTTTTGCATTACAGTACAACCTTGTAGATACTTGAAAATGCTATCATAACCCACTCCATCAGCTTTTTCAAGACTGAACATATCCACTTAAGGAGTCAATAGTCTTCCAAATTTTTCACTGAGTGGTTTAAAAGACCCTGGTTGGTTGGTTGGTTGGCTGGCTATTTAGATATATACCCTGACTTTTCCTCCAAGAGGAGTGTACATATCACCCTCCCTTCCAATTTTTCTTTCAGGAAAATATAACAAAATAATTCCTCTGAAGTGTTTGCATTCACCCTTGCTAGCTTTCCCTTTGTATGGGGAGCAATAATAGCATTCTTCCAATCATCAGGGAGCTGCAGCTTTTGCGCACGTTAAACAAGCCATGCAGCCACTCCTCCTTACACTAACCATTTAACATTTCTCTAATTATGCCATCTATAACTGCAGCCCAACCTTTTTTCAACATTCTCACATTTTTTGAGATTTCCTTTTCATCATTTTTATAATAGCTGCCAGCAGATGCAGATAAAATCTTTACCTTGAATGGGATCTAGTTGATCAGTTATGTGAGTTAGAAAGAGCCAGCAGGTTCTATGCTGGAGGAGATTTAAAATTTGAAGAAGGAAGTAGCACATTTTCATCACTTTACACAATTTATAACTTGACCTTGATACTGAAATGCCATCAATATTTTAGGTGATTTAGCTTCCATATAGCCTGCTTATCAAATCTGTAGCTTCCTTTGCCTCATAAGCATTTTCTTTAAGGAAAAAAAAAACTAATGCTCTTTTTTTTCACGCTGTGTTATTTTGCAATTTATATATAATTGGGTCTTTGCCTAAAATGAAAAAAAATGTAGCACTTCATGAATTCTACATATTTGAAGTTAGCGGTTAACAGAACAATACTAAATATCAATCCTGCTTATTGGGGGTGTGGGTGTTATACAACAATCAATCCATTACATCCAAAGTAATGTCTGTTTATTTACTACAGTCAAAGTGAGTGGAAGTGGATAGCCTTTTTCTGTTCAGGCAGTAACCCCACCCTTCATTGCACCAGACTGGCATAGTGTGTGAACCTGATCCAGGAAACCTGGAGGTTCCACTCCACTCCCGATGCAAATGTGTAATGATCCTTCTAGGCCCTCTTCTCTCCACAAATACTGTGGCTAAAGGTGATGCCCGGGGAAGGTAATATTCCCACGGAGCTTTACGCAGGAGTATCACAGGGCTCTGGGGCAAGCATCCCCTCCTAGTCAAGAGACACTTTTGCACTCGATCTGCCACAGCTGGCTTCTCTCTGCAAGCCTCCATACAGGCAAGGATTTTAAAATAAAACTGGAGATTGTGCAAACAATTCAGCAAGGTTTTTATTAGCATGTTAACAATAGAGACAAATGAATTAAAACACAATGGCAAAATGGAATGTGTGTGTGTTGAGGTGGGTCTGTGTCCAGTTGTACCATGTGTCCATTAAGGTGGGTCTGTGTCCAGGGGGTGGGGAAAGGAAGAAAGGAAATCACTTAAATTAATGTGTTGCACTTTGTGTGCACATGATGCATATAAGGCGTAGTTTCCATTGAGGTGGGTCTGTGTCTGAATAGTACCAGTTCCCACTACAGGTAGTAGCTCACATAATCAAATGTAGGCAGGCAAGCAATCACAAGAAAATAGTGAACATAGTGAAAATAGCCTAGTCTTGATGACATCCTATTTTTAATGAGATATTACAAAGTTAGGCCGGGACGTTTCTCTATGACTTTTACTTTGGTGCATTAAATGAATGTCTTATAAGAAGGAAGACACATGACCCTGATCTTGCAGCTTGGAGTGGTAAGCCAGAAGCCACTGAACTAAAGTCACCACCATTTACTGACTGAAATGAGAAATCATGATTGTATAATAAAACACAAACTTTTTGGTAAATAAAGCATGGCCTTATAGCTTAATAGCATGCTGTCAATATAAAAATATTCATCCCTAAAAACATGCTTATTCCCAGAAAAGTATTCTCTTGTAACATTAGCTCCTGAAGGCTCACTTTGAGAAACTTAGATATTGTGCCAAAGCTTTGATGCTGGATGGCAATTCTTTTCTCATCATAGCTGACTCATTTGTCTTTTTATAACTGCTGTGATCCTTCTCCTGGATTCATCTAGAGAAGATGTTCTTCTTCGAGGTGACTGCACTATAGGCAGAGCAGGCAAGCTAACATTGAAGCTGCTTTTGTTCCTACCACTGACTTCTGCTTTAGTGGTCCTCGAAATTTCAGATGTTATCCCTTTTGCAGCATTTGGGCACCTTTGCTTGCTGATCAAAGCAGAGGAGGAAGTTGGACTGCCCTGACTGAGGGAACACTGTGACAAGGGGAAGTTTCCGCCAAGTTTCTTTAGTTTCATGACTTGTTCTTTAGCTTGAACCAAAGCTTCAGTAAGCTCATATCGTTCCTCACACTCCCTGCGCACTGTGTCCTGGAGAAGAGTGTTCTATGAGAATAAAGAAAGATATATTTCATAAAACATTATTGAGATGACAGCAAAATAAATATTGGGTGTTTTCTTAGCATCTCAAAACATAATGTATTTAGAACAGTGTGTGCAGACAACATATCGTGTACTGATATGCTTGCAGCCATACCACAGATAACCAGCATACCCAAGTGACTTCTTATTATTAGCTACTGTGTTCTTTCATCTTGGGTGTGGTAAAAAAAAGTATTGTGCTTGAGATCTAAAATGGTACTGTATCTTAGATATACTCAAGCAGCTTTAAAGCTAATTTTCTTTGAATACCATAGCCTTATGCCATATCACAAAGCAATTTTCAATAGAAAAGAATATATGTAGCTCAGTGTTGAACTGTGGAGTCCTTGGTGCTCTCTGAGCTTGGTTGTTTGCAGACATTTCATTCCCCACCTAGGTAACATCATCAGTGCTAGTGAGTGTGGGCTTTGTTCCGTGTTATATGTCCAGTAGCTTGCCCTGCCAGTGTTGGTGAGGGGGTGGTTTTCTCACACTACCCTTCCTGGATATCCTCCTTTAAAATATATCTTTCTTTATTCTCATAGAACACTCTTCTCCAGGACACAGTGCGCAGGGAGTGTGAGGAACGATATAAAAGAATATATGTAGCTCAGTGTTGAACTGTGGAGTCCTTGGTGCTCTCTGAGCTTGGTTGTTTGCAGACATTTCATTACCCAACTAGGTAACATCATCAGTGCTAGTGAGTGTGGGCTTTGTTCCGTGTTATATGTACAGTAGCTTGCCCTGCCAGTGTTGGTGGGGGTGTGATTTTTCTCACACTACCCTTCCTGGATATCCTCATCAGCAGAGGAAACAATGGCAAATTAGAAATGCAAGTCTATTGAAAAACAACCCACACTAACCATTTGGTTGGAAGATGTTATATAGGTGATCTGTTTCCTTCTTCTGGTGTTCCAGGTGGCTGCAGTGTGTTTGTGCTTATCTAAATAATGTTCTTCACAGCTCCTCTTGTGGCAGGTTGGGTTGTTACTTTGGTAATGGAGCATCTGATTAGTGTGGGTTGTTTTTCGACGGACCTGTGTTTCTAATCTGTCATCGTTTCCTCTGCTGAGGATATCCAGGAAGGGTAGTGTGAGAAAACCACACCCTCACCAACACTGGCAGGGCAAGCTACTCTACATAAACAGGGAGCAAATCCCACACTCACTAGCACTGATTATGTTATCTAGTCAGGTAATGAAAGGTCTGTAAGCAAACAAGCAAGCTCAGAGAGCACTGAAGACTCCACACAAAGCAATTTGCTATTTGGCAATGCTCATCTACTGAGTTCTTTAGATAAGAAGATAAATTGCTCTATTCGCAATTACAATGACACAAGAATGAAAGATCTGCATCACACTGAAGCACATGTAAATATTGCCTTTCTGTTTACAGACAGAAAGGTTGGAGGAACCACCCATTAAAATGAGCTTCAGTTGAATGCACTGTTCAAACTGGTGGCAATGATACACACTTTTTGGCACTTTTCTTCAAATGAACAATGTGCAGCATGAAGTAATAATCTCTTTGCCTTGAACCTATTAAATTTCATTGGATGACTTAATTTTGGTCTCTTTTCCTATGTTCTCTGTACCAATCTCTTCTAAGACTGCTTCACTGTTTTTAATTTTATAAACATACCTACAATCTGTCTCTCAAATTTTCTGTTCTATTTTCAACAGTTTTCCTCAATGAAGTTTTTCTAAGGTAGCTTTTCCAATCTGATGCTTGCCAAATTGTTGGATTTCCATTCCTACAATTCCATGTCATCTGGAGATTACTGTAGTGGAAGTCTAATGTATATTTTAGGCACCAGTTTGAGAAATGAGATTAAGTGAAAAAGAGTAAATATTAGAAGAAAACGGTTAATAAATAGTGCCCTATTTTTCTTGACTCATAGTGCACAACTCAACAGAAAAAACACTTTGCTTTATCTCACTAAAATGACACCCTGCTTTTCTATGAATTACATTACATTCTATCAATTAAAGTGCTTGAGAGGTTGAGCTCATTTAGGAATGGCTGCACTTTCTTCCTAGGAACACAGTGACCAGAAATGCCTTTAGCACTGTGGCTTGCTTCAAGCCTTTAGAATTTAAATCTGCGGGTGAAACATTAATCACTTTAATTCAAAGTCTAAATTTAACTAAGCAAACCACTGGTGAAGAACTTTAAAGGATTTAAATGATTTTTGCATTTTAGAAAGATTTTTTAAAAAACTAACCGAGGACAATTGTGAAGGCTCAGAAATAATGCGAACCTGATCTGAGTAATGCTTAATCTAAAAGAAACCTTATTAAGTAAGATATGACATCACTTCTCTTTTTTTAATCAAAGTAAAGGAAGTCATACCCAATAAAAAACTACAGTAATGAATATATCATTCACAACTAAAAGCTGAACTACTTAATGATAGAAAACAAAACACAGTCAACATACCAATTGTTTCTATTCATCTATATCCACAGCTTACTGTCAAGAAGATATAATAGGGCATGATTTCAGTGACAAATATATCTATTTTAAGATGCAATCCAATGATTTAGGGAACAATATTCTAGAGGCAGATAATTAATTAGATTTTTCTTTCCCCACCTCTGAATCAGAGGGATATATCATGAGAAATCTATAATTAGATTTGCTTTCCCTCTTTCCTTCCACACCCCAATGTCAAAAATTGCCTGAGGGCCTAGCCAGGTTTGGGTAGCTTTATCTCCTAATGTACCAAAAATTTAGACCAAATTTCAGATAATCTAAATGTATTCCCTTCTACTGAAATGAATGGGGCACAAAAGTTAAAACAAGCAAGCAAACAAAGAAAGCCAGGGGAGTGTTCTCATCCTGTCCTGCCAGTTTTCAGCCAGCAGTGCTTTAGAAACATCATATGGTTCTGAAGTTGGAGTATTGCTGTTGAAGATCCAGGTTGTTTTGCCCACTGCAGAATTTTCAGGGAAGAAGCAACTACCAGATATCTTTTGAATGCGCAGAATAAAAATATTGCAAACAAACAAATGAACAAACACATACACTGATTTTTAATAATTTTAACCGCTCAGAATGAAAAACCTCCATGGATCTCTTTTCCTTAGAAAATAGGTTTCCCTTCCTCTTTTCCATCTTTAAAAGAGTTACAATTACAATTTTCTTACAATTTTCTTTCTTGATTTTTTTCCTAAGATTTCTTTTGACTTGATTTCTCAAATGCCTTTTGGCTAATGGTACTACTATTCAATTGCAGCTTTATATTTTTCAGCTTTTTCTTACTCAGTCCTTCTGTCTTCTTCATGCGCACTGCAGGGGACAAATCCTGTATGTTGCTTTGGAAATTTTAAATACTTTAAAAATCATCCTAAATTAACAAAATGAGAAAGGTATTTTTCACTGCACTATGTTTGCACTGGGTATGGGTTCCAGTATACTGAAAAATAATCAATCTTTTATCATACAGGTAGTCCTTGACTTACGACCACAATTGGGACCAGAACTTCTGTTGCTAAGCGATGCGGTCATTAAGTGAGTACCCAATTTTATGACCTTTTTGCCATGGTTGTAAGCAAATCATTGCGGTTGTTAAGTGAATCATGTGGTCATTAAGCGAATCCGGCTTCCCTCATTGACTTTGCTTGTTGGAAGCTCCCTGGGAAGGTCACGAATGCTGATCACGTGACCCTAGGATGTTGCAACCATCATAAATACATGCCAGTTGCCAAGTGTCCGAATTTTGATTATGTGACCGCAGGGATGCTGCGATGGTCATAAGTCACTTTTTTCAGTGCCGTCATAACTTCGAATGGTTGTAAAACAAATGGTCATAAGTTGAGGACCACCTGTATTACATAAAACAACTTGACACGAGCAGCAGTGTGTGCACTCTGGCTACTCCTAGCCTTACATGTCAAACTGATTGCCTGCATGTATAAGTGTGTGGCGAATAGGATTCTTTTTCCCAGCAGAATTCCCATTTATGGGGAAAAGAATGTGGAGAAAATCCTACATATACTGCATATATTTATAGACAATAGGTTCTATGCAGTGAAATTAATGTGTCCATCATGATTATCTCTTCCATGCCTTGTTTTAGGCTTAATAATCTTAGATCTAGAATATGGTTTATTTAGCAGGAACTAAATCATGGTTTGATATCCTTGTTTGCAATGGGAAAGAGGGAACAACAGAAATGTTATTTGGACTTATATTTTTATTCCTTGTCCAAATATCCACCATTTGTTAGGTTATGATTTTTGTATGTCAAACAAACCAAAATATAAAAATGTGATATCATATAATGAACCAGGTCTGACCTTTGGTTGAGTTCATACCTCCTCTTGAACTTGATTCATTTTCTGAATCAATTGTTTTTGTTCCTCAGTTAGTTTTTCCAATTCATAGGTCTTCTTTTTTATTTCTTCTCTCATGTCTTCTGTCACTGAATTATGAATGCTCTGTTCTTCCTTCAACTGGAACTCAACCTCAGTCATTTGTTTTTTGAGGCTTTGCCATTCCTTTTCCCTTTCTTGATTATTCTCATTAAGCTTACTCTCAGCTTCACACAGCTTCTTTTCAAGTGTGTCCATTTCAACCTTCAGCTTATTAGTAGCATTACATATCAGTAGAGGTATCTGAAAAACAAATTTATCATTTAATTCTTGTCAAAACATGTTGGCAAATACACTTTAGTTATACAGATTTAAATATGTTTAAGTGATTTTGGAAGAAGAAAGATAAGGAAACATCACACCATACTATGTAAAACTATCAGGAGCTTGTACTTACATGAAATGAATATTAAAAAAATACTCTACAATAGTGGAATTCTGAGTTATACAAGATTAAGGCGTGATTAAAACTGTTAAACATGGAATGCATAAATTAAATAAATATTATTGTAAATCTTTGTTTTCAAATGCAGCACTGTGCAGGCACAAGAGATTAAAGTCTTCTTAAACACACAACAATGTGAGAAGGACTTGCTTTTACAAACAATTATCTTGGACAACAACTATGACAGGGCTAAAGCAAAACCTGATTCCTGGTTTTTATTTTTTTAATATGGAATAAGTATGACTGTTACTTTGGTTTGATGAGGTTTTTAGTCCTACAAAAGATCTCTGAAGGACCCAAGAAATACCAGCAAGGGAAACTCCTTGTAATGTCACAATTTTGTAGACACAATAAATACTCAAAAATTATAACTGCTGAATTCTGATTGTATAAGTAAGTGCATTTTGAACAGTTGTGACTAAAACACCACAAGAACATTTGCTCATTTCAACAAGAATGGCTAATTCTGTAGATTGCTTATTAATGTCAGTACTAAATAATCAACAACTAAAAAGAAATGGGGGCAACTCTGTGACTAAGCAGGCCATTTTGTCATATGACCTAAAGAATGAAATTAAGTGATTCTTGTGGCTATGCATTAAAAACTAGCTTATTTTCAGTTGCTTAAACCTTTGTATGTAGCAGCTCATCCTGATCTTTCTGATATTTTGCAAGTAATTCCTGATGCTTTTGTTTCTCAGTATCTAGTTCTATTCTGGCTTCTTCTTTGAGTCTAAGAATCTCTTCTTTGTGATTGATGTTTTCTTTCATTCTATCAGTTTCAACCTGGAAAGCAAATATTTGGGAATCAGTAAGAATCTGTTCAATTTACATACACACAATGTTCAACAAACATACACACAATGGGACTTAAATTGGCCAACACATTCAGCCTGATTCTTTTATCTACAATTTTAACTAAAACATACAAATTATACAAAAATATACAGTATTTCATATTAATTACATTAAAATTCAAACCATAACAATAGTACTCAATACATATACCTACCTATAGTTTCATAAAAGGTTTAGAAAAAGAGGGTTACCATCAGAAGTGTTTCATTTCTAATCTGCAGAACTTTTTTTATATATAACTTTATTAAAATTTTTATAAAGAAAGATAAAATGAACAGAAAGATATATAGAATAAAGAAAAGAAAGAAGAAGGAAAGAAGGAAAGAAAGAAAACAAAGCCAAAAGTGCAGAAAAAAAGAAGAAGGAAAATATAAAGAAGTAGCTTCCGATTTTCTTTACAGTAGTTATAAGTATAAATGTAAAGTTACCTCTTACTGTAGGGTTACATCATACTTTCTAATCCACGAAACTCTAATCAATGCATGTTATGTTCAAGTACTCTTATGCTCAATAGCATTTACTTCCAAGTAATACTGTCCAGGATTGTGGCCTCTCCCATTCTACTGTTTCAAGAGAATAATAGTTGTTTTCTTTATATTTGTTTAATATAATATTATTAATCTGGATTCTCTTATAACAGTAAATAGTTTTGAGTACTGGTTTTCCCTAAATTTCTGCCAGACTGTGTTCAGAGATTTGAAAAGAGAACCTTTATGTGATTTAAGTCTCATCTTTAGAATGCAACACCCCTCAAATCTAGAGATAGGTGCAAAGAAAAAATTTGGAGGCAATTTTGATACAGAGAAACCATAAAGCGCTCTACATGGGGTTACCCTTGAAGAGTATCCGGAAGCTTCAGCTGGTCCAGAATGCAGCTGCGCGAGCAATTTTTGGGGCCCAAAGAAGGACCCATATAACATCTTTGCTCCTTGAGCTGCATTGGGTACCGGTTTGCTTCTGGGTCCAATTCAAGGTGTTGGTTATCACCTTT